ACTCTGACTGCTTGTGCTCTCTCTCTCTCTGACAAATAAATAAAATCTTAAAAAAATATATTTTTTATACTTTTAACAGTCCATAACATATCTGCACATGAATGCAATTATCCATGTTTACTCAAACTCTTTCTTGTCAATATTAATCATGATTTCTGCTTTTTACCAAGTCATCACTTAATATATTTCATTAAACTAAAGTGGATTGTGCAAGATGGGGGAAAGATTTTTCAATCAGTAAGAAACTAAAGATTAAAATATCACATTCCTCTGAATTCTTCTTTTCTTCACAAGACTTATTTTCCCTGTATCCCAAGTCCAAGAACGAAGAGATTAGAGTGGGAGATAATTAACTTACTGTAATCCTCTCAATCAAGGCTTCAGTACTTTTTTCACCACTGTCCTTAAATCAGCAAAATTTTTGCTGTGGAATTAGAAGCCAAGAAAGACCTCAAAGTAAGAGTTTGGATTGCTTAACAAAGTCCCAATTTCTTTTGGGTTTAAGTCTTTAATCTTCCCTATTGGGGGAAAAAAAAAAAAACTTAGTCTCCCCTAAATTCCCAAATTTCTAGCAACAGTTTCTTGCTTTTAGCATCCACTTCCTCACCAATTCACGTCTCCATTCACGTCTCAACCCGCCTGGATGAGAATCTGCTTTCATCATAATTGCCAAAATCTCCTAGGGCATTCTCGGGGATCAGCGCTTAAAAGTCAGTTTTCCTCACCCGTCCGATTCTGCATCTTTTCTCCTCTACAGAATATTTTCTCTATGACTTATCATCCCTCTTTCCTGTCTCCCACTTCTGGCCCTGGCTTTTGTTCCTATCTCTTGGTTGACAATACCCATATTCATCGTGGCAAGTGAGACACTGCCCACCCTGGCCCCCAGCCCTGAAGGAAAGGGCGTCACAGCCCACCAGATATATTTACATGGTGGTTTCCCAAAAAGCTCAAGTTCATTTTATTCCTTAAGGCATAGGTAACATCACTGTCCACCCAGCTGAGCAAATCAGAAATGTGGAAATCCTTCCTGGCTCCTTTTTCCTTCTTTGCCCATTACTTCCAATCAGTTATTAATTGGTTTTCCTTCTTTAACATCTCTTGAATCAGTCTGTATCTTTTTGTCTTAACCACTATTTGAAAGGGTCAGGCTATTATTATCTCTCACCTGACTTACTGCCTCGGTTACTGACCAGATCACCCCCAGCCTCAGCAAACCCCAAACCTTGTCTATGCTGAAAATAGGATTTTTGTTCTTCAATACAGATCTGATTTTGTTACATCCCTGCTTTAAGCCTTTCCACAGTTTCCTATTGTCCTCACAATAGAATCAGTAAGTCTTAAATTGCTATAAGGGACCTCATGATCCAACTCAAATTTGTCTCTGGTCTCATCAAATACCATGCCTACCAAGCCATTTCTCACACAAAATTAATTTTTCCAGACATACCGAATGGCCTTCATTTTCTAAAATGCTTTCTCTCACCAGGACTTTAAATGTGCTGCTTTCTTTGTCCTCTACACAATACCCTTCCTCGCATCAGCTCAAAAAACCCCTCCTTATGCTCCCCTTCCTGACTCACACCAAGAAGTAGCCATTCCCCATCTTGATGCCCACAGCTGTCTGCATTTTTCCTTGTAGCACAGCACTTTTCACGCTATTCTGATTATTTTGCTTGATTATTTATCATCCCTACTTCTCTGTAAGTTCCTTGAAGGCAAGGAATATATCTTATTCCTTGTTAAATCTTCAGTGCTCATTAAATATTTGCTGAATGAATATAGACATGAAGATAAAATGAAAAGATTGATAAGAAGCTAGATGTATGAAAATGAAATTAAAGTCCTTTGGTTATCCTCTAAGAAGAACATGGTGCTCAATATCTTGAAGGTTTCTATAAAAGTTCTTTATCTTACAACTCACAAAGGGTAGTTTAAAGAAATCAACCTACCTTTCTTAAACAACACACATACGCTTAATGCATTCCTTTATTTTGTCCGCTTCTCAGTAAAATGTAACTTCCACTTTGATTCTCGATGTAAAAGGAATCTTGTGCATTTATCTACACTACCTAAGTTTTGCTATGGTGTACACTACCTAAGTTTTGCTATTGTGTACACTGGCCTGTGGCAAATTATTAAAATTCTGTGTTTAGTGTCTTCACCTGTGAAATGGAAATAATGGGGTTATTGAAACATTTAAACGAGTTACTGGATGTGAAGCACTAAGAGCGGGATCCGGTAACTAGTAAATACTAGATATATATTGTTTGTTTGTTTTTTTTTAAAGATTTTATTTATTTATTTGACAGACAGAGATCACAAGTAGGCAGAGAGGCAGGCAGAGAGAGAGAGGAGGAAGCAGGCTTCCTGCAGAGCAGAGAGCCCGATGTGGGGCTCGATCCCAGGACCCTGGGATCATGACCTGAGCCGAAGGCAGAGGCTTAACCCACTGAGCCACCCAGGCGCCCCTATATATTGTTTTTTGCGTACAGTTGATGTTTTCAACACTCCTCCTTATTCTCAGACTGCAACTGCCTCTCTCACATTCATCAGTAACTCCTTCTGGACAGGTACTGTGGTCTAAACTGCTTTCTCTTCCTAAGCACCTAGACTAGCAGGAGGAGCATAGTAGTTCACTGAATCTTGATCATGATTTAATTTATAACCTGGGTGTACTCATTCACCAACTCAGGATACAGATATGTTCACACCTCTTGGTTGTGCACAGTTCATCAAGGCTCCTTTCATTTGCTCTCAGGACTTATGCCCTCTAGAAGGAGCTTCATGTCCAAGTACCAGGCAGTGCCTGCTGCATGGCTACTTGGATCCTATATGGATTGGTGGCTGTGATTGCATTTGTGCAAGATTTCCTTGCTGGCCCCGATCCCTATCCAAGCCTTGATGGTGCCTAGCTAGGCTCCAAGATTAGACCTACAAGCTCAGTCACTGTCCTCAAGCACTATAATCTAGTGGAGGGTCTTCCTATCTTGAACAACCCTTGTGCAAGAATCAGCCCCAGGTCAAGAGCTTTGGGTCATCAGCTTGGATCATTCCTTAAGGACTTAAAGATGTTCTTTTGTGCCTTCAGGTTCAAGCCAGGGCCACATCATTCCACCAGGCCCTGTTTTCTTAACCTTAAATGGTAAGGACTGTAGGTTGGGGGAGGTGTTTCTTTCCTTCCTTCCCAGAAGGTTTTTGGGCTTCTTCTGCAAATTTGTCCACCCCTTATCTAAATTCTGTACACCAAAGGACAAGTCCATATTAAAAAACAACAACAACAAAAAAAAAAAAAAAAAAAAAAAAAACAAAAAAAGCAGGGGCTCCTGCATAGCTCAGTCAGTAGAGCATGAAACTCTTGATCTCGGGGTCATGAGTTCAAGCCCCAATTTGGGTATGGAGACTACTTAAAAAAAAGAAAGAAAGGAAAAAAGTTTCCTCCTCCTCCTCCTCCTCCTCCTCCTCCTTGCTAGACACTCTTTAAAGGTTTTTTTAATTTTTTTTTTTTAAGATTTTACTTATTTATTTGTCAGAGAGAGAGCACATAAGCATGGGGAGCATCAGGCAGAGGGAGAGAAACAGGCTCCCCACTGAGCGAGGAGCCTGACATGGGACTCTATCCCAGGACTCTGGGATCATGATCTGAACCACATAGGAATCCCTAAAAGTTATTTTTCACAACCACCTTTTAAAATGCAAGATGGTTCTGATTCGTTGGAACTGTTTCTCACTTAGTCTTTAATGCATCATAGGAGCCTGCAAACTAGAAGACTATAAAATTCTATAAAACAAAAAATAAAATCCTCTATTGGTATGAGCTGGACCTGGCAGGGACTGTTTGGGTTTTAGCAGTATGAAATTAAAATGTAATTTTTGCCTCAATCCTGAGTTTCCAACTAGTCACAATATATATAAATGAGGACTCTGTCTCAAATAATATCTCCTCTGACAGAGTCATGATGTCCTGACCCCATTCACTTGGGAGAAGTCTAATTGTTCTTCATATACCACACATCTCTGTCAAAAACACTGGCATTTCTGAACATAAGTAAGAAATGAGTTTACAATATCATGTTCCTGGTTTGATGACAGAGGTAAGAGAAGTATGGAAAGACTGTTTTCTGTTTTCCCTCATAGGCAAGAAAAAGCATGAATTTGCCTTACTATAGAAAGAAGGGCTCTCAAAAACAATGCTGTGTGTATACATTTCTCTTTGTTAATCACAGTTAAGATGGTTCTGAGGTTTATCTCTGGAAAACTGCGTGATCATTTATATTTCCCACTGACATGCTTTTCTCCTCACTCTTCACATTAATGTTGAGGTCAGGACTAAGGAGGCTGCCAGGGCCCCTGAGGAAGCCAGAGAAAGAAGAGGGGATGGTATCTGGGCTGTTAGAGGGCACAGCTGAGCCTGAAGAATGAAGGGAGGAACAGAACAGACCCAGCAGCCATCTCCCACTCCTAAAGCAGAGATAGTATTTTGAGGAAAATAGACTGCTGTGTTTCATTTCCTCCTATGAATCCTGCTCCTTCGAAGTCCCTAGGCTAAGTCCTGAGTAGGAGGTCTACCATTAACCTTGCCTCTTAGAGGTAGCCTTCTCTAGACTACAGCAAGACAAGAGTAGTGATGCACAGTCTTTATCAAAATATTAAAAAAAAAAATCCAAACTTAGTCTAACTTATTTATTAAATATATCAAAAACCTGGCCTGGTAGATATAATCCTTAAGTTCTTTCATAAGGAAATTCTTTACCTGAGAGAAAGAAGAATGGGAGGGTCTGCCTCTTACTGTTTTGCTGGCTTGTGTGAGGAAAATGGGCATCAGAGACAAAACAGGTAGAGTAACGCCATTTCTGGAAGTCCTATCTCTGAGCAGGAGTTCTGAATGTAGACGGCATGCTAAATAATTTTAAGGCAATGCACAATGCACGTGCACGTGTGCGTGCACGCATGCACACACACACACACACACACACACACACACACACACACACTGTTACTGCTCTTGCTGCTGCCACCACCACCAACAGAGACTTGGGATCCCCAATTGATTGCCAATTGGCCAGAGTCAAGGTTCTAGAGGCCCCATTAAACTCTTTGTGGCATGAATGTGTTAAAATCATCTTGCGTTCTCTCAGGAGGGACGCGGACAGTAGCCAGTCGTCCAGGCCGATCAGCATAGGTGAAGGAGTAATGTCACAGTCACACAGGCAAATGACCCTGGATCTAAGGCCACAAGTTGATTTGGAGCCCAACCTCAGGAATAGAAATTGAGCCAGTCAGAGCCAAAGTCGGTCCAAATGAGGAAAGAGGAGCCCTGAGAGAGCTGAGTTCATTTGCCCAAAAATTCAGCTTTCTACGCCAGAGGTTGTACAGTAATCAGGTGGAAGGAACACTGTATGGCGACAGAAAAGGTGAGAGGGTTGCAGGGACTGATGTGGGGATCCCCGACACTCCTTCTTCTCTGTTGCTATGAGGCTATGCAGGCTCCCCACTCCCCACCACACACTGTTGAGGAGTCTATCTGTCTATCTGTTAGGGTCTCCCTGTCTAGAGCACTGGGGTGAGGAAGGAGGCAATTACTGAAAAACTGAGTATTATTCAAGAGAGTATTTATACTGTTAGATCAAACGTGGTTTTCCAAGTTGGACCAAATGCTTTTCTCCACAGCTCAGGTATGTAGCATCTCATGAGAAAGATCAAGCAATTTCTGAAAAGGAAGAAATTATATTCCGCTTGAACACCTGAGTTAGGGCACCTGGTTGGCTCAGTTGGATAAGCGACCGCCTTCAGCTCAGGTCATGAACCTGGGGTCCCAGGTTTGAGTCCCACATCGGGCTCCCTGCTCAGTGGGGAGTCTGCTTCTCCTGATGGCCCTCCCCCCTCTCATGCTGTCTCTCTCTCATCCCTCAAAACCAAAAAAAAAAAAAAAAAAAAAAAAAAAAAAAAAAACAAAAAACAAAAAAAAAAAAAAAAAAAAAAACCTGAGTTATTCTGCAGCTCTGCTACCCCTATCTGAAAATACCCAGAAGGCAGTTTCTATGCTCTCTTAAAGTGATTAACTCTTCATAGGTAACTGAATATGCCTGCAAAAAACGTCCTCCGTGGTTAACTGATGTGCCCATCTCCCCCAGTGAACATTATGGGGGACCTTCATGATTGACTACCATTTATTTCATATGCTCTAAATTTTCTTCCCTCTCAGATGCATCCTGTTTGCAAAGGAACTAGCTGTACTAGGAAGAGAAGGATATATCTCCTAGTTCCACTCTTTCAACAGTCTAAACAATGCAGGCAAAAACAACACGTGTCTTTAACAACAACAACAAAAAAAGCAGTCTTCAGCTACTTTTCTGGTGGAAACTGACATTACAACTCTCATTTGTGGGGCTGATCCTCCAGGCAGAGCCAGCCTAGGGCAGTCTGTGCTGGCTCCAGGCCAACCACAGCTCTGTTATTTGGGGAACTTCCGGGCTGTGGTTGGTTGCTCCTTAGTGATACGGGCTGCTCGACTGCTGTGACTTTAAACTTCCACGTATGAAAACAGAAACCCTGATCCCTTAGTTATATTGTCAGTGTGCTTCTCTTTTAGATTTTTCTCTAAAATTTTGTTTTATTAAAATTTAGTTCCTTCAGGCAGTTTTCATTTGAAATAAGGTCAAAGGAATAGATTCAGTACAGACCTACATGGTCTTCACTTCTGTATTTGGTTATCACAAAGTGTTTAAGAGTTGAGTCATGAAAAAAGCTCACATGTTTAGAAAATTATTTGGGTGGGGGTTAGACATGCTCCAGTAATTGCATGGTTATCACATTTTATCAGGGCTTCTTTTATGTGTAAAGTTATATGTATAAAATTAAGTATGTGTTTTCCTTCTTTTCCTTATCCCAATAATAAGTAGCAAGTTCTCTTTGAATGAGATGTTCCAGACAATTCAACCTTACTAGATCATGTAATTAGTGATGGCTATTCACTCATCTATCCTTTGTGGACTCAAAAAATATCTGCTGAGCACCCACTATGTTCCAGACACATGGTGGGTAATGGACCCTCAGAGGTTAACAAAAGCTAATCCCAGGTTTTGAAGAGTGTAAGTAAGGAGAAGAGTGTTCCAGGAATGATCACGAACATTGTAGATATGTCATTATAGCCAACTGATGAGATATGTAAGCAGTATACCAGCTTGGATGAAATGCCATCTGTGTCCACGAACCAAAGATTTTGTTTTTGAACAACTTGTATATAAAGTTCAGAGGTTAGATCTGAATCCATGCCATAACCCCACCCCCCAGTTTATGGATGCCATGACAAACCATTTCAACTAATTTACAAAATATTTTTAGAGAACACAAAAGAAAATTTTGTTGGCAGTTCCTCTAAAATATCATTGTCCAAAAAACAATCCAGGTGACCATGATGTATAGCAAGAATGATCCTAATTGGTATTTTTGTTTGTTGCCTTTAGAGATTTTCCTTAATTTTGTCCCCCTAATCCTCTCTTATGCCTGCCCCTTTTAGCCACAATGCCTCCCTTACTTTCTAATTACGTGTTTGCTTCTTGCACTCCTATGCTTTCTTCTAACTCCACGTTCTGTAATTGAAAAACCATTTTTAAAATTCATCTATCTCCCACATTTTAGGTTTCAGAGTCTTTCCCCCCCTAAACTCTTCCTTCTAACCCTCCCTCCACTGACTTGAGCAGAGTGAGGAGCACCAAGATTTAACCCCAGTTCTCCCACTGTCTGGTTGTATGACAGCTCTGGACAACTTCCTAACAATGTGGGGTCTCAGTAGCCTGATTGGTCATGGGGAAGGGATCTGAATCACTGGTCTCCAGGCCCCTTTTTGGTTTTCTGATCTCATGGTTCTATGAATCTTCTGGGAAAAGTAAAGTCCCCGAAACTTTGTTAATGTTTTTACAGTCATTCTTTGACATTTCCTAAATGCATCTTCCTCTCGTTCTTGGGGTAAGACTTACAAATACAGAGCTCTCAAGATCTCTGTGGTCCTTAGTCTTTTGGGGCTGTTTGCTCCCCAGGGCTGAAAAAGAGAAAGGAGGGCCTTCCTAGAGACTTACAGACACATGAAAATATTCAGTGCTAAAACCCATGGTTTTATCACTGTCTACTGAATGCTATTCTCTCTGGTTTTTTATCTGTCCAGAAATAAACGCCCTAACACATACCAGGAACCATTTCCTGATACAGCCACCTCTGTCATGGTAGCTTTGAATGGAAGATTTAAATCTCAGACTACTTATGTTCCTTTCAATCTAGCTGAGGTATTTAACTTTCTATCTCTGCTTCATCCTGCCTCTCAGGTCTCATTAAACCAAAGCATCCCCTAGAGCTGGCCTCCTCTGAGGCTCAAACTAGACTCTTGGATGTACATGGTAATCCGAGGCAGAATCTCTCCTTCAGTTTGAAAACTTTTTCTGTATACCTGGATGTTGATTTTTTTAAATCCAAATTCTCCTGAGGTCTTTTCTGCTGACTGATTTCTCTTCCACAACTTCCATAAGCCCTTCTATTTCACATTCAGGCCATGGTTCTCAAAGCCTTCATTTTTCTGCACGACCCTAACAGACCTAATTCCAACATTAGTCTTGATGGATGCATAGATAGGCCTGTAATTGAGCACCAACCCCAGAATATCTAGGAAATGTGATCTGGACCCTGATGTGGCGACACCTGGCAGAAGCTGAGTCCCAGGCAGGCTCAGACATTCTGATACAGTTCCCGGAGAACATGCTCAGGCATCATTCCCTTGTTCCCAATCTGCAGTTAGATTCATTGTCCTCCTCTGTAAGGTTTATTATCTATGTAATAGATTCTACTTGTCCAACTAATGCTCATCAGTTATTAAGCTACAGTTTGGCCAGGCCTCATAAAGATCTATGGGATAGTTTACAAGGAGGCAAAAGACATCTCATGTCTTCTAGTATTTTTCCAAGATCTGAGAAGGGTTGCAGTCAGAGTGACCATACATTCTGGTTAACTGGGGACAGTCTCAGTTCCTGTTTGTTCTCCTGCTGTCCTTATGAACAGAGCCTCTTCTCATTTTCTGAAGTGTCCCAATTTAGATAATAAATTGTACAACCCACCTAGTTTTGGCATTGTGTAGGTGTGCTGCCGATGTGTGGCTAAAATCCTACCTCCTCATCTCTGCATGTTGCTAAAGTGACCCACTTAATTACACGTTGAACTAAACAAATGACATATCCACTCCTATTTCTAAAGCATATTTGACTTGTGATAAAAAGAAAACTAGTGAGATGGGCCTTGCTAAATCGTGGTGGGAAAAAAAAGCTGAAACTTCTAACAGTAGAGAATTGGTTAAAAATAATAAATCATTCAGTTGAATCTGTTCATGAGAAGATTAGATAGGATTTTTCCTGATATAACACAAGCATGACCTGCTATCTTTCTCACCTCCCCTCGTAACCTTATACACACTCATACACAAACCTGAGCAGGTTGTCTATGGATGTTTATAGAGGCTGATAGAGAGCTCTTCATGAACCATGTTCATCAAAGAGCTACACATCCATGATCCACTCTTAGCATGTTTCTACACGATCATGAAATTAGGAGCCAGTTCCACCTTTGTCAGAAAAGTAAGCCATTCAGTTGAAAAGACAAATTTAAAACTTTGTTTCGACAAGGGTAAATCAAATATTTGAGAGAGTGAAGGCTTTGCTTAACTATGATATAATTAAGTGATTCTATGCAACTTAGTCCTATCTTTTGGGAAAAAGACAGCTTTCTGGTAATGGTCTATGTTACATTTACAAGAATTCTGGAACTCACCAATGTCAGGAGAGAGATGGCTGTGTACACTGAACTGGAAAAAGCACTACCATTTACTATTAATGATAATATTAATAATAGCTAAAATTGTTTGAGTTTCCTGAATGTAGTACATCACACTAAACATTTAATGGGCAGTACTTAATTCAATCCACAATGACCCTGCTTCTGATATGCTAGAAAGACATTGTGGGATCATATTTGTGGGAAGTCTCAACTGACCTATCAATGTAAAGTAGTAATAATTTTTCATGGATTTTCCAATGATATATCCTTATGATTCTCTGCTTCAGTGCTGGGAAGTATTCTCATGAGTGTAGATTACTGTATGTGGAGGTTATAAATTATTTGTAGTAGTCAGAAGGTAGGT